AGAATAGGGTTTTGGGGCCCCTTCTACAACAATTATAATAAGGAACCCCCAAAGCAATATTAGTAATTATTTAAGGCCCTACATTATAGGGTTCAGGGTTTCTGTAGCAACGGTCATTTGCTTTGGGGAGTCCGGGAGGTCCCTTGCAGGGGGGGCGGACATTTACAGACTTGCTACAGACAGAAACACGGCGATTCGGGTATAGGCTTTCTTTTGTGTAAGCGCCTCCTTTCCAACTCGCTGAGTCAGAGATTGCAGGGTTTAGGGTTTAGGGGTTTACGGTTTAAGCTGTACACATCCTCTGGTTGCCAGAGTTGCAGCTGCTCTGGGTGATACAGACATTGCCAATTACATGGGTCGGACACCCACCCTGTCGTGGTGATCATTGGTAGCTTCTGAAATCCTGGATTTAACCCCGAAGCCCTTGTAATCCTACAAGCCTTTAAACCGCCCAAGCCCCTTAACACGAAACCGTTAAATCTTGCGTCTTAACCCATATCCGAAGCACAGCCCCTCTAGCACCGCTTTCGCCGGGTGGCTTGAAAAGCTCCTGTAGCCTCGGTAGTAGCGGGGCTGAAGTTGCGTTCAAGCTCAAGGTGCTTTTAGGTAGTTTCGGGCTCATGGATATGAAATGTACGGTGGTATTGTGGGAAAACTATACATGAATAGCTTGAACAGCTATAATCAGACTTGGCGTGAAGGTAGCCATGGCCGAGCGCTGAAAAGGGGCAATCGACAGCAGCAACCGAAAGCCCTTGGCGACGTCTGTCCGTGGTGATCGGGCCCATGCTTCCACCAGTAGGGTTTAGGGATTACCTTAAGAACCCAAAACCTACTGTTTTGTAGGGTCCCTATAAATCCCATATTAGGGTTTATAATAAGAACCTACAAAAAAGTGCTTTTTGGGTTCTTAAGGTAGGGTTTTAGTTCAAGAAGCACCTTTTAGGATTCAGGTTCGTAGGGCTGGGTTACTTTATTTAGGTTATTTAAGCTTAGAGGCCAACAATGTGCTACCATGTGTGCCTTGGCACTGAAGTGCCACGGTGACTAAAGCGTGTGGCACATCCAAGGCTTGTAGACCTGTGGCGTCTCCTAGGGGGCTGCGGTCTAGATGCAGGATAGATAAGGGTTTAGGGTTTAGGGTTTAGGATGTTAGGGTTCCTCCTTGAAGGCTGATATATGAGCCTCCCTGCACTCTATGAGCCCCGAACTCTGCCTGAAACCCAAAGCCCCATGAGCCCCAACACTACCAAAGGCAATGCCTGAACCCCGAAACTCCCTGACCTGGACCCCCAACCCTAAACTTTAACCCGCAAACCCTAATAACAAACCCTAAATCCTAAACCCTAAACCTTAAAACCTAAACCCGAATAACAAACCCTAAACCCTAAGCCAAACTTGTAACTCTCAGGCACTACATCCTGAACCCCAAAGCCTAAGACAGCAGAGCCAACAAAGATCCCGAAGGAGCAGTAGGATCCTTGTTGCATCGGCAAGAGCCGCCGTCCTGAGGTGCAGGCTGTGCGGCAGGGCGCGCAACTTTGGACGCCATCCTCGGACGAGTTCGACTCCCAGGCTACGCAGCAATTCACCAGATTAGAGAACTCTTTGACTTCTGCTTATAAACCTCTGAACTATCCTGAACTTGGGACCCTTGGCAGAAATTACAATTTCAGCTGTTTCGTCAGGATTATCGTATCAAAAGATTAAGACTTATATCTGAGTATCCCTAAGTGAATGCCAAGGTGTGTCTGCCGTCCCTCGCAGGCCTTCACCTGTGCATCACCTGTCCAGGCAGCTCCCTGTAGCCCTGTGGCCCACAAGCATGCTCGGCAAACGCGACATCTGTGCCCAGTATTAACCGCCGAGGGCCCTAGAACCTCAACCACCCCCGACTACAAGCCTCAAGTTTATAAGTTGTGATTCGACGGCAACTCAAACAAGAGCGCCCTAACCCCCCCCCCCCCCCCCCCCCGCTGTTGCACCACGATCCAAAGTTAAATACTGACAAGCTGCTTGTACTTGTGCCACTTCTTTCTTGCCTCATCCTGCTGCTGCTTCGTAGGCTTGTCGCTGGGGTTGATGACCGATTATTGATGATGATGATGATGATGACGATATAATGACGATGACGATGATGATGATTGTTGCTATGAACACTAGTTGTTTATTGGTTGTCACTATTTCTTAGTATGCTATGATTAAAAATGACTACTGAAATTCTCCACCCCGGCTCAGGTTCTGATGGCTTGACATGTTGAGCTTCGAGAGATGCAATCAAACAGGTTAATGTAAGGGCCAAAATAATTGGAACAGGGTTTTGGGGGTCCTTATTCTAATGCAGTATAGTATAATATACCCCCAAACCCTATTCTGCCCCAATATTAGGGCTTAGGTTCAGGAATGGAGGTCTAGAGGCTGTTTAAGGCTTTTGTTCCAGCCCCATTGGTCCAAAGCCCTGAAACCCGAAGAGGGCTGTCGCTAAAATCTCTGGAAGAGCTTCTTACAAGAATCCCGATGAAGGGCCATTCAGCTCCCCAAGACTTTGTGCCCAGTCTTGAAAGTCGAGTAGTCTCGGCGACCTTAAATGTCTTTGAATTCAACACTCATGAACACCGACGATGATGCAGCTACACCTGTACGTTCACAACGACTCATCCACACACAGCCAGAACAGCCACAAATGCAACACCCCCACGCACCCCGGCCCCCACCGAGGTAGGTAGGTAGGTAGGTAGG